GCTGTGATCCCTTTTCCCTGTGGCTCTCATAAAGCCATTTGGGCAGGCGGTCCTGCTCTGCTATCTAATTTCCTCTGAGCAGCACGCAAGAGTTCAGTCTCCTTCTATCACAGTTTCCCTCCTTGTGCCTTTGTCAGGGTTCTCACAACAAGATCAATGGCAGTTCGTGTTCCTAAGTCAAACTCGTTTGCTCAAAGAACTTTATTTGCCTTTATTTTAACTACTTATAACTTCGTTTCAAGGACTCTCCTATTTTTGAGACCACCAGACCAGGGGGTTGTTCAGAGCAGAGTGGGAGGAGATCATTTTGATCTGCGATGCCATCCCTGACCCACTAGTTGTCTTTGTTCAGCTTTGCTTTTGTAATCAAAGCTCTCTACAACATAAAACACATTAAGGATTCAGATGCATGCTTGTGGTGTTACCCCAGGGCTACTACAGCTCTGCTGATGTGTGGTTTTGACAGAGCCCTGTCAAATTATTTCAGGGTGCTGCTGTGTGTGTTCAAGTTGGGTTCAAGTCGATGTAGGCTGGAGGCTCTGAACTGTGTAACGTGCCTTGAAAAGAAAACAGGAGCTACCTGTGGCTCTTGGAATGATCAGCTTGTGTTAGTCTTATTCTGCCTCACATACCTTAGACCTTTTTGGCATTAAAAGCAAAGTTATTCTACCCTGGGAGTCTCTCCAGGTTTGACAATGTGAGCCAGATATTTACGCCTTTGTCCCAGGGCCCAGCCAGGAAGGGTTTCTCCAACACTGCTCCAAGCAACCTGCTGACTTGGACAAGTCTTGTTCTGCTTCCTGGAGGAATGAGGTGGTTTTAAGTGTCTCTGACAGCAGCCTGCAATGAGAGGATGGAGGTCTTTGTGGAAGCTGGGGAGCAAGACATGAAACAGGAGGGCTTTGCCAAGATGCATTTTAGCTCGTGGGTGGTTAGGGGCCCTTAGGAAGCAGTTCTCCATCAAGCATTGCCTGGAGTGTCAGCATCATGACCTACAGCTGCTGGGGGAGGCTGGCTGGGGAAGAAATGTTTCACTATAGCGGCCTCCTAAAGTCCTTGAGCCCTTCTGAGTCCTTCAAGAAGTTTTATGAGGCAGTTGGGATGCGTTGCACTTGCACAGTGGCCATATGGAAATCCACATGCTGGATTTCATGAACTGGTGGATTCAGGAGGATGGGGACAATGGAAACCTTTTATGCTTTGGTCCACCAGTACGTGACATCTAAGCTGTCTTAGCCACTGCTTAATGAGGAGCTAGAAGTGGATCAGGAAACAAAAAACCAGACTGGGATTCATTAGGGACTTTGGTCATCTCTGTTTCAGCCCAGATGAAGTGAGTAGGATTCATCTACCTAAATATAAGTGTTAGCACCCTTTGAGTGACCTTGATGCTCCTGGGAGGGCAGATGGTGGTGAAAAGCAAATAATACCTCAAATAATGCTAGATATTGATACTGAGACACCTAAATTCATCCCAGAGGGGTGGGATTCTGCTCACAGGTTATCCAAACTGAGGTACCTCTGTGTGAGCTGAGTCCTTAGGCTCTTGTTAGCCAGTAGAGGTGTGGTCAGCAGAGCTGGTGGAGCCTGGAGAGCTGCTGTGCAGGTGTCTGCTTAGCTGCAGGATCCTATGTCTGCTTGGGCACTGCTGAGTCAGGTGGGCGTTTAGAGGTGTTTCTCAAATGTAGGCATTTCATCTCAAATGTCTGCCTCAGTGAGGTCAACCCTGGCTGGCTGGGGTGATTCAAGGGCCTAAACCTACATCCCTGTTCCTGACTGAAGGTCTGATGCTAGCTGCTGGCTGCCAATCCATCAGGATCTGGAGTTCCAGCATGGGTTGTGCCATACCTACCAGTCCCACGTGGATGCCCTGGGTATGCTGGAACAGCCCCGTGTCCACCTTTCCTTCCACCATTTCTCCATTTCATGGCCATGCCTTGTTCAACCCCCTCCAAACCCAGCTCAGCCTGTGCACAGAAGTGTGTCTATCAGCTGAGCCCATTCCTGATGCTTTCTTGCTTTCCCATCTCCTGTACCATGGTGGTTGTCTCTTTTTCCAGGTGGGTCACACACAAGGAGCTTGGAGGAGGTGGAAGGGTTGGGAAAAGGGGGAATTAATGAATGACTGCAGTGTGCAGCCCTTCTGCAAGCATCTCAACAATGTTGCCTGGTTTGCTGATGATCTGGGCGTGAAATCAGGTCTAGGAGCTTTGTTTCACACGAACTCAGCTCTCAGTTCTGGCCGACCACTGAAATGTGACTTTACATCAGGGACAGGATGAGTGAGGGTTGCTTGGGGTTGTTTTTTCTCGGCGTTGAAGCATGTTCTGTACTCTGTTGTCTGACATGGTGGGATTTCTCCTGGAGTTGGCCAGACACTTTGGCACGTAAAGCGTGACAGCCCCTAACCAAGCTGGCCCAGCTGAGTGCTCTGAGCAAGGAACACATCTCTCTCTGTAACCCATCCCTTGTTTGAATGCTACTGTGTATTATTGGATTGCCTCTGAAAAGGTCTTGGCTGTTGCAGGAATGAAGTGTGACCATTGGCCAGGCTCTGCTGAAGGCCGTATTATGCACAGTGTCTTTCTAAAAATGTCTCTGTAATATCAGGATTGGGCCAGACCCCAATTCTGAGCCCATGACCTATTGCACATTTTGCACATGGGGCTCAGCAGGGCTCGTGCAGCCAAAGAATTAGGAACCGGATGGTCAGGAAATGGACTGGAGCCAGTCCTCTGCTGTGATGAGGCTGTAACGTGGGCAGATGCCATAATGGGCAGAGGAGGGGGGATTTATTTTCATTTTTGGATACTCTAGATACCCAAAGGAAGGGCACCTTCAGTAGTACCTTGACAGGAGGCAGTGCTATAAAACGAACTCTGTTCTAACTTGCTATTTTAAGGTATAACCACCCTTTACCCATTTAAAGTCAAAATGTGACCTATTTTTGGGAGGGAAACTAGAACTATAAATATCTGTGTTTAATCCGTGGACAAAACACAGATTATCTGTGACTGTCCCAATCATCCTGCTGCTCTTGTCACCCACGGAGGATTCTGTCTCTGGAGAAGGTGGGGGAGAACATCCAGATGCCATTTGTAAAGAGGTGGATGTGCTCTCGTGCAGATTTATTACAGCCTGATCCAAAAAAAAGGTTTGTTTAGCATCAGTCAGCGTATGGGTACAGGGTCCTGTACAGCACCTTTAGAGACCTTTCATAGAGTCACAGAATGGTAGAGGTTGGAAAGGACCTCTGGAGATCACCTTTGCCTCTCTCTAAGATCAATAACCATTGACTCGCTCTTTGCTTCCTTCTCTTCCCTTCCTGAGAGTACTTCTTCTTCTCATTCTCCTTTTTTTCTGTTGAAAATAACCTTTTCTTTCCATTCTCTCTACCTCATGGTGTGGTTCCACTGTGTCTGCTCTTCCTTCTGGATTCACACCTCGTGTTGATCTGGAGAGAGCTATCCCCATGCAAGCTGTCCTCAAGCAAGAGCTGGAGATGTTGCTGTATGGAGACTAACTTTGCTTTGGGAATAAGTTAAACACGACACATTTACTCTCTGATATCTCCAACAAGTTATTTCCCTCCTTTAGGCATCTGTGAGACGAGTCTCATTTCTCCTTACAACCCCAACTGCAAATGTTTAAGTTTTAAAATTAAAAAAAATAAAATATGAAGAAAGGATTTGAAACCCTTGCCAGTGATAATTGTAGCCCAGAGGCGTGAAGTTGAACATGAGAGTCCTGGTGTGGAGGGGACAGAATCAGTTCCCAAGGGTCTAAATGCCTTCCCTTTCTTTTCCACCTTGAGTGTGAAGACCCTGCTCATAAATGCTCTGCTTTTATGGGGTCAAAGGATTGAATCCATTGAGATGGACTCTTCTCACTGCAACATCAACCTAGATTTCATGTTTTTTTTCCCCTTGAAGCCTTCTGTGTGAGCAGCCAGCCTTCCAAGCTGCCTACAGCTGGTGCCATGGGCAGAGTAAATCCTGGGGGCTGCATTAAAGCACCTGGAATCTTAATTTTTCAGAAAAAGGGAGGGCACTGAGGAGACCGAGGGAGTCCAGGGCTTCACCCTGCACCAAAAACGTGCTTCATTAAACATATGTTTGGCCAGCAAGCAATGGACCCCTTTGTTTTCAAAAGCACATGCATGCTTCTTCATTGCTGGCAGGAAAAAAATTGGCAGGGCCTTTTAAACGTGCTACCACACTCCAGAATAGGATGCTGAGCACAAGCTGGAGAGGCAGAAGCTACCTGGATGGTTTTGGAGCTGCTGGTTTTAGTGATGGTGACTCCAGATGTTGTTCTTGAGGGCTTATCTATATATTTCAGCTACATCAAGTCTTTTCCTCAGTCATGAGGTGAACTAGGTGGGATGCCAGGTCTAGTTGCTCCTGGTGGACACAGCACAGTTGAGCCATGTATCTACTGAGCCTGTGCTGCTAACTGGGAGCCGTGTGGGTTTAAGGTGGTATCCTGTGTGTTGTGGTATGGAGAAGGTTCCTACTGTCCACGCTCATGTTCTGGAGCACACCTCACCTCTGTGTTTGTGTGTGTTGTGGCAGTGCTCTCCCTCTTCTCTCCACTAAACCAGCTCCTTCCACTTCTTCCATCTTATGTCTTTGTTCTTCTTATAATAACTAAATAGGTGTTAAAATATGTATTAGTCTCTTAACTCTGTCACACCTTCAGAGCTCTGCCTCTGTAGATGAGCCAGCCAGGCTTTGTACACCTTACTAGTATCATTAACTACTCAATAAAGTGATATTCTGGCAGGTAAATGTCATATTCCTGGAAACTGGGACCCTTCTAAAACCAATATTTTCTGTAGTATGTGTTCTCTGTCCTTCTCCAACAGGAGGTTTCCGTGTTGTCATCACCTTTGTCTTCCAGAAGCATCTCCTAGAAAATGGGGTTTCTTTTTGTTTTCCTCTGTGTCTTGATTTCTTCCCCCATAACTGATTCTCTTCTGGGGCCGTGTGTGTCTGCAGGTCATCAAAGCTGGAGTGGAGACAACCTGCAAATGCCACGGCGTGTCTGGATCCTGTACAGTCCGAACGTGCTGGAGGCAACTCTCTCCATTCCACGAGATAGGGAAGCAGCTGAAGCAGAAGTACGAGACCTCCCTCAAAGTGGGCAGCACCACCAACGAGGCCACGGGGGAAGGGGACATCTCCCCACCCAAGAAGTCCATCCCTGGTCACAGTGATCAGATCCCAAGGACTACGGATCTCGTCTACATTGACGATTCCCCGAGCTTCTGTATGATGAGCAGATACTCTCCTGGGACTTCGGGAAGGAAATGTTACAAAGACAAGAACTGTGACAGCATCTGCTGCGGGCGAGGGCACAACACGCAGAGCCGGGTGGTCACCCGCCCGTGCCAGTGCCAGGTCCGTTGGTGCTGCTACGTGGAGTGCAAGCAATGCACCCAGAGAGAAGAGGTTTACACCTGCAAGGACTGAGGCGTCTTCTGCTCGATGGTGGCGGGCGCTTGGCCATCTAGGAGAACTACGTATGGAGACAAACAGGGTTTGATTGACCTTCTGGGATCTGAAAGCTATGTCGAGACATAAGCACTTTGTAGGGTACAGGTGACCCAGCTGTGTTGCTGTTTTGTTTATTTTTTTGTTTTGTTTTCCTGTAGACTGAATTTTAATGAGGTCCAACCATGTGGAAATAAGTGCCTGTCACACTGGGGTTAGACACCAGTTGACCTTCACCTCCGTCGTCTACGCAGCTCGACGGATCGTTTATCCTTGGGACATCTTGATCGTTTCACCAATCCTCCATGAACTCCTGGGCTAATATATTCTCCTTGGCATAAATAACCTCTACTACTTCCTTCCTGAAGCTTACCCAACTGCTTAGAGGGGCTAAGCAGATCCAAAACGAAGCTCCTCCTGCTTTGAATGCAGTGGTACGGGAAGAGGTCATTTATTTCCCCTTTGAAAACTGGAAAGAGGTGTGTAGGGTGAGCAGGACCAGCCCCGATGGTTCCTCTAGTGGAGTTTCTGCACATTGAGCAAAAAAGGCTCTGACAAAGAGACCCACTGGGAGGGTGAGCCTCGTAATGGCAGCTCCGTGTCCGCACGCGTTCGTCACCAAATACAGCTCAAAAAATGTCGAGTCCACCACGTTGCAGATAGAAATCTATCCAAGAAAGAGGTTGGGAAGACAGTAGAAAACCAGACGTGCCTGTCCCCTTCAGTCCACTCACATAGAATTCTTTAGGTTGGAAGAGACCTTTAAGATCCTCAAGTCCAACCATTTTTCATGATTTTTTTTTTAAAAAAAAAAACAATTTCTCTGAATGCAGTTCCTTTAGCACTATCACTGTCTTAATTGTTTTTTTTGGATTTTTGTTTAAATAACCACTAGATACTTTTATTTTTTCCCTTTGTGCATGATTTCTTTTTCTCTCCTCTTCCCACCTCTTGCGGATTGAATTCACCCTGTGGTAACCGCTTCAGAAAACAGAACTTGGAGCTTTTTTAGTCTTAGGCCAGCTGAATTTGGACACGTGTTTCTGGGTAGGACAAGAGAAATCGGAGTGCACCTTGGAACGCGGTGCTGTCTTGCGTTGTATAACAGCCATTTGGGACTGGATCAGACCTCTGGAGGAGTTGACTTTTCTTTTACTAGGTCATCATTCCATTTACTCTAAACCGTGGCGGTGGTACACGACACAAGCTGTATGTAAACCCTATGACCTTAAGGTTTTATTTTATTTTTAACCACTAGATTGAGAACTGTGTTTTAAAAAAACACAACTGCTAAATAGTAACCAAGCGTTGGATTCCAATCAACCAATCGACACAGAGACAACCTATCCAGTGGCCAGAGAAGCCAGAAGTTGACTGCAGTGGCAGATTGCTCTGACGCTGTGAAGTAGATGACAACCTTCAAGCATTTCTCTTTTCCTTTGAAGAAGATACTTGCAAGCCAGGACTCGATGTGACAATATCCTTCGGTCGTATGAAAGTGGATTGGAAGGAGCCAATGAAGGCCCCAATGAAGCTTTTTAAGGAAACGCTGGAGAGCAGAGGGCATTTTTTATTTAATTTTTTGGGAGCGATTTTTCATTGTCCACTAGTAGCAATTTCCACCAATTTTATCTACGCCATTGATCTGCTTCTCAAAAGAGGAAACCTGGTTGGAGTTTTCCAAGCAGTAGTAGCTATTAGCCAAGCAAAAAGAGAGCAGTTTTCCAAGATGGACCATCACTTTTCAAGGTGTTTCTTCATATTTCTATTTTAATTTTAATTTTTTGTTGTTGTTGTTGGTTTTTTTTCCCCCTAAAGAGTAGCCACTAATATTTAAGCTGTTCATGTGCATCTACTGGGAGGAGAAAAAGGGGTATTTTAGTTCTTCATGTTAACAAATACCTGCAGTCCAGCCTGGCTTGTTGGCATCAAATCTTGAGGTGGGAGCATGGGGAGGGACAGCGCTGTGGTCTCACAAAGCCAAGAGTGTTGTCTCTTTTTTTTTGACGTTTGCTTATAAAATTTTGGAGGTTGGGGTAATGCTGGAGAAGGAGGAATCCACACGACGTGTTTGTCCCTTCCACCACTGTTGGCAGGAAGGTCTCACAGCTTCTGGGAGATGCAGCGCTCTGAGAGTCACCCACGAGCAGTTTATCTAATGGTTTGAAAAATAAACTGACTAGAAACCTGTTATTCAGTGTGTGCACGTGTGTATGTATATATATATACACACACACTGACACATAAATATATATATATAAATATTGAACGAACATTTATTTATTGTAAAGCCCTTCAGAAGGACCTTCTTATGGTTTCAATGTGGTATCCTGTTAAATTTTCTTCCTCCCTCTGTCTCTCTCTCTC